GTATCGGGGCCTCCATGCCCAAATAGGAAACCTCGAAGGGACAATAGAGAGGGAGTGGTTGGCGTAGCGCGCAAAGCCTCGGCTTGGTAAGCCGAAGGTCCCGGGTTCGATTCCCGGTGGATCCCTCGATATTTTTCCGTCGTCGGTTCCTACATATTGGGGCCCGTCCGGGATGCAGGGCATCTACACGGTACACGAAGTCAGGAGATGTGCGATGAAAACATGTCGAGGGTAGTACGCCGTCGGTTCCTACATATTGGGGCCCGTCCGGGATGCAGGGCATCTACACGGTACACGAAGTCAGATGTGCGATGAAAACATGTCGAGGGTAGCACGCCTCCCAAAAATGCGTTGTTTCGACTGTGTGTCACTGTGTGGGGGAGTGTGCCCGAAAGTGTTGAGTTGTGTTGCATGGTTCGATTCCCGTTGGGTCCCTCAATATTTTTCCGTCGTCGGTTCCTACATATTGGGGCCCGTCCGGGATGCAGGGCATCTACACGGTACACGAAGTCAGGAGATGTGCGATGAAAACATGTCGAGGGTAGCACGCCTCCCAAAAATGCGTTGTTTCGGCTGTGTGTCACTGTGTGGGGGAGTGTGCCCGAAAGTGTTGAGTTGTGTTGCACTGAGGTCATTCGAGGGCGAATGTCAGTTCAGGATGGCCGAGTGTAGTATCGGGGCCTCCATGCCCAAATAGGAAACCTCGAAGGGACAATAGAGAGGGAGTGGTTGGCGTAGCGCGCAAAGCCTCGACTTGCTAAGCCGAAGGTCCCGGGTTCGATTCCCGGTGGGTCCCTCAATATTTTTCCGTCGTCAGTTCCTACACATATGACAATGGATATGATTCTAATTCATAAAAACACGACCGAATCTTGGAGTATGTGAACACCGCCATTTCATATGCAAGGACCACCTGATAGTAGCACAACTGTCAATGAGTGCTTTCCTTATAAAAGGATAAATGAAAAATATAGAATAAAGTTTTTCGATTGCTTCCCTAGCTTTTGAGGAAAATGATTTTCAATACAAAAGTACCATCAATTGATTATCATTGAGTAGCGTAGAAAACTTTGCGAATGAAGTTTGTAGAACGACAGATAAGAATTGAGAAGTACTCGAAATCGAAGGATCGAATGAATGTTTTAGGTGTAGGTATAGGATAGCAAGTAAGGTGTGATGATTTTGCAAATTGTACACTATTTATTGCTGAAAGTGACGAATCAAAAAACTTTATTCGACGTTCTTTACTTATTTTTCTGTTTTATTACATTTGCGGTTGTAAATCGGACACCCTGTATACTTATGACAACACGTACGAGTATTATCCAAACAACGGGTCGATAAAGTACAGCGAAACAAACGTTGCATGGAATCGCTCTTCTTCACGGATAACTGGACAAATTGACAAGGAAATAACTTGTGTTGCATATTTGGTTAATCCTGAAATGCTAATATTAATTTGTTAATGTAGTGAAAATAATATTTATATTTGTTGCAATAACTTTGTTAACATCAAAAAAAATTGTTCATCTCCGACTCTAATGGTATTTTTAAAGTAAAAAATATAAAAAGAAAAGTGTATATGAAAAAATCTCTTGAGACACTGTATTCCACGTGTTAGTGTTTTAGGATTAATTTATTCGTTTCTTTGGATAAATGAATTGTACTTCGTCTGAAGTATTCGAATGTTTCAAGAATTTTTGAGGCATTTGAGAAAGTGGTTTAGAAGTTTTCCGATTTGAAATTTGGTGAGTTTGTTTGCACGGTAAAGTTTGCCTTCTTTAATTGATTGTGAAAAATATTCCTTTATGGTAAATTGTAGAACTACGCTCAATCAGTATTTATCAAATCATTAAATTGATGTATTTGTTGAAAATTTGATTTGATACTAAAACAGAAAATCGTACTTAACTTTTGTTAAATAACTTTGCAACATCAGTATAATTATCTTCTTAGAATAATAAATAAAATAACTTGTTAAGAATCATTTTCAATATGTTATAATCAATATTGATTAAAAACATACTTTAGCACGTCCCTAAAATAAATCAATCAATAGCGTTTGAAGAAAATCAATATACAACATAGAGAGAAAATCCCCCATTTTTGGCTCTATTGCAACTATTTTGGATCAAATAGAAAAAAAATGCACACTTGAGAGATAAAGTGTCAGTGAAAAGACGCTTAATAGATCAGATTTTGAATAAAGCAATATGTGATAAAAATTTTTGTTTTGTTGATGAAGCTGTGCACGCTAAAAATTTGTTCAAATTAAAATAACTTAGGAATAAATTGGGCATAGATAGAAGTTTTTGGCAAAGCGAGAAAGACAGCGTAGATGCATACAAAAACTTGTAAAATTTTCAACTTTCCACCCAAAGTTACGCAAAATTTGAATCTTGGAAATTCTTAGACGGATTGCTTAATTAAATAACTTTCAATAAACTCAAGCATCAAAAATGTTACTTTCTTGAGGAAACCATGTTAACGTGTTACACATAATTACGCAATATTATTATGCTGTACAAAATATAGTATTTAAATATATGAGACTTTACACGAAATTGAACACTTCGTAACTCTACTTAAGAATTGTCATAAATGGTTACTAATTTTACTATAATTACGTTTGCAAGTATATAATTTTCAAGTGAAAAATTGGATGTTACATTTTACGAACGACCATCTAAAAGTTAGTATTTGTAATATTTTTTACTCATTTACTATCTGTAGCTGTAACACTGTTGGTACATAGTACGAAAGAATTTAAATACTTGCTATTTCATTTTTATTCCCTTTGTGAAGGTATGCGTTACAGGTTGCCTATTGTTAGGCGTAGCCGAATGTAAGAGGATTTAATTCAAGGGAAAGTGATTCACGGGCCTGTATCTATTATATTTAGTTCCCTCTTTTCATGTATAAAATATATCGTTAATGATTAGTACATAAAACTTTATAGTATATCTTAAAAGTAGAACTTATAAAACTGTAAAAATACATTACGTTTTAAATGTAAAATAGATATTTCTCTCCATTGAAGTTTGTGACTCTAATATGTATTTCATTTTTCTTGTACTGTGTATAGAAACTTTTATAACAATATAGCACGTTTTAGGCATTATTTTTGTGTATTTTCTTTTAGTATTACTAGAAGCTCAGTCCTCAGACTCATTTAACTTAAAACTGCAAACTCAAGGCAAACATAAAACTTCGCTCCATTAGCACGTAGAATGATTCACAATATCAAGGTATTCAACTTTTTCAAATGAAGTCGTATACATAATCCAAAAAAAGTAATATAATATAATACGAACACTACAAAGTACATAGTGCTTCCATCTAGTGGCGGTATTACGTACGAGCAAATATGTCAACAAACTGCATTACCGCAGTCGGTAAATTAAAAAGGCAATAAAAGCTCGCGCGAAAATCACGAAATTGACAATGTCTTTCCCAATAAATGGTTTACTTTTGCTTCGGTTCTTTTGCAACCGTACACCTCGTATATTTATACAGTGCGTTAAATATTGATCACGTATGAAATTAATCTGCGTAGTTCGAATCGAGTGACCGTCGTCTTTCTCCCTCTTAAAAAAGGGAAGCCATATTCCAAAGTTCCCTTTCACCGATCTACGGGGTGATATCACAACGTAATCCTTACGAAAATGTAAATGATCCCACGAAACAGGCTGAAATCGTCGCTTAGAGTCACATACTCGCCAAATCGGATCACAACATATACACCAGATACACAACGACGACGTCGATACCGCACGATTTTAATGGTATCTAACAAAAAATTGTGCAATTCGTTACGGGGGTGGCTTTTTATTTTACTCACGCTTGGACGGACTGTTTTTCTTCCGTAAGGTCTGCATCGATAGTCCCGTGTAGGCGACGAGAGAGTATCGGATATAGTAGAGGAGAATGTTACCGATTTTCTCTCTCGGCGCACCCTCGGCCGCCGCACTATCGTAGATAGAATTCTCAACACAGACACATGTCGCTCACACGTCTTTCTCTCTCTGTTTCTACGATTCCCCTTCTATCGCTTTCTTTCCTTTGCTCTCCCACTCGGCCCTTCTCACTCTCTTTCACTCTCTCCTACTCCCACTCCCGTTCTCTTTTTCCCCCGCGGCCTATCTCGTGCCTCTTTGGCTGTTCTAGCTGGCCGTTACTCTTTCGTTACTCCCTCTGTCTCCCTCGATTCGTGTATTTCCACGGAAGTATGAGATTGGCGCGTTTCACGTACGGTCGGTACTTCTTGTCCTACAACACGGTCGCACTTTGTCGCAGGCTGCCAAAGGAACACAGAGATCGTGTGGACACTGTTGAGGAAGTAACAGCTGCCTCTGCCGGCACGGGTCATCCATGTTAGCCTCTCTTATTGATCAATAATATACCATCTAGTACGTGGCGTCGTCGCTTCGAGGCCACAGAACACATTTCCCGCTTCGCGCGCGCTTTTCCGCTAGGTTCTAGATTTTCCCATATCTCCCTCGATGCTTTCAGCACCTGGATACGAGAGTCTTGTTCTTACACGCTTATCTCCTTCATAATGAGTTACAGTTGTACGTGATTCAACTACTTTTTTTCCATGGTTCGGATATCGACTGAGATAAAATATCGATGGACACGCTGTTTTTATTTTTCGTTGGAGCCTCCAGCGGAGTGGCGCAATTACAAACAATGTCGTGGTGTTAGTGTTGCTTCTTCCCTTATGCTCATTGCCCCACTCTCCCGTGAATAGAACGAAGAAAATGGAAAATTAAAATGTCATTGCGTAACAGCGTATAATAATCGTCTGGAATAGTTCAGTGAACATCTTTCCTATTATTACGTTTGAAAATGCAAATGTTGTATTTTCATTACTGATACTGTTAAATACCGTCGGAGTCAATGGCACCGATGTATCAAACAGGATTATTTAATTAAAGTGAATTACGAAGTACATGTATATGTTCATTATTTATAGTATTGTTACGAAGTATATCAATGAAAAAATGATATGTAATAAGTAATAATACAAAAATTTTCCATTAATTACAAAGAATTAAAAAAATTATATCATGTGCAATCAAAATATTTGATAAAGTACAATTTGTATGAAAAGTAAAAGTACTTTCTCTTACATACAATAATAAAAATGGTATTAAAATTATCAAATTTTTTCTCCTTTGACTTTAATCCAATTAAAAACAAATGTTCTGGTCAATTTGGTGGTGAATTATAAACAAAACGATAGACAAGATAGGGATGTGACATCTGAATTACGTACCAATTTAGTTACATCTTACAGTCAATAGATGGCACTGTAAGTTTGCGCGCGAAAAATTAGTTTTTTTATGAAGACCGTATTGACATAGACAAGGTATATATTCTATACCTCGTCTGTAGTATTGCTTTTGTTGGAATCACTTTCTGCACAAAGGTACAATTCTTACAGTTTCATTTAAACATTCATTTGATTTTTATTAAATATGTTTTTCTAATTCTTAAATTTATCAAATGCATATTAATTATTATATTTATAATATCAACTTTAAATTTTATTACGAATAAATAATCTAAGTTTTCGCATGGTGTTATTCATTATTAACGTAATTTTAAGCAAAATACAATTTGTTTTACTTTCAAAAAGGAAAATGAAATTAATTCCAAACATAAACAATAGGCTTTGTTACATAAAAAATTACAGATTATCTAAGAATTGTAAAAATTTTTATTGTAATACGCGTTCGACTAATTCTTGTAAGGTTCGAAATTTGCTAATATCATCTATTATTTCCTACTGTGTATACGAAATATTGCACAACTCACTAATCTCAACAGTAGTCGATGTGTCTTACTATAACTTATCTCCCTCGTGTTGAAGGTTAAGTGAATTTGAAGGCAATATTTTACAAAGAATGATAAATATGATATGCATGCTGTTTGACACCATCAGCGAACCTATCCGTTGTACAAAAAAAAATATTTTCGAACAAGAATACGATATACATAAAATCTTAACATGTATAAAAAACATTCTAAAATTAGCAACGATTTTGATAAAAGAAAAAACAATGTGTTAAATTCGGGAATTCCGTTCGCATATAAAAGCAAGATGCTACGCCATTGGCCGTCTCGGTTTTAGGTACAGTATTACTAGTGGCATCACGAGCTTCTCAGTGTGCGAAGTGCCGCCGTAGCAAGAGGATGTGTTTTATCGCTTGTCCTTCACTTCAGTGAAAGAAGACAGAGAAATTAGACTTGTGCTGGATTTCTACGTCGTTTTCAACTGTTATCCGGTACTTAACGGCATTTCCAGGCTAATTCAGCGGCTGACAAATGAACGCACACCATGACATCCCGTAAAAACTTGGCCATCACGTTAACGATAATACTGGGAACTTTCACAATTAACACGCACGCCAGATCGTGGGGTGAGTAGAACGATTATCTAGCAAGCCGTTTTAAGTGACGAAAAATCGCAGTGAAAATGACAAAAGATTTTACACGAGGTATACCGCCAGTATACACCGCGTTGCGGGTCGAACTGTCTCCATTCACGCGCTCTGGCTGGTCACGTACGCCACTTCTCGCAGACTGTTTTACCATGCAGAAAGTCGAAACGCGGCCTAAAGGTGAATGAAACTGACCTTTTATTTAGCTCGAGACGCTCCACGGAACTCTTACGATTCGTATCGATACGGAAACCAGCCGAAACGGTACATGTCCTTATACCTGTTTACGTAATGAATGTCAAGCGGTTCTTGGTGCCTCATATATATGCGTGCACGTACACGAGGATTGATGGTAGTGCGACCCGAGCAGACGGCGGTTTTTATCGAAAACCCGATTTATCGAAAATGGTACCCCTATCAAATTACCGTGGTTCGCGGTAACGCGGTCAGAAACAGCCTCCTACCGGCGACTTTTAAATCGTATGTGTTCATTAAGTAGCCACATCAGTGCAAATCTGTCGTGAATCGCATCGTGTCATGACTCGACTCATTGGCCAACAAGTTCACCTCGCAAAACATCGAAAAGTGTTAAAATTACGGTCGATCTCGGGAATTGCTCAATGCGAATTTTTTTTCTTTATTTTTCCATCGCCCTTAAATGCCTCGAGTGACGCACGTTCTCGCGATGCGCGTTTGAAAACCTGCCCCGTGTGTGCTTACTGCTAGACTCAATGGGGCAACGTTTAATTACACGTACGGAGAGAAGTGCAAAACGTGGATTACGTAACGCGTGAAACCGATAAGACGTATGGTTTTGTTTGATTTTATGAATATATACAACATATAGAGCGGATAAGGTCGTCTTTATCTATAGATCGGTCTATATGGTTATGTAAACCGCGTAACGGTGTAACGTAATAGGTTAATTTAATAAAAGATGCGTTGATTAATTTTTCATTAATTTTAATCGATGGAAAAGTTTTTCACGATTCAGTGACAGATTCGTAGGAGTTATATTTGCGATTTTTATCCAGCTAATGAGTATCACACGCACACAAATATTCTGAATAAACATGACGAAAACGTTTTTTAGCGCGGTTGAACTGTGAGTTATTTTCTTGTGTACGGTTACAATGCGACGCGACGCGGGAAATATAATATAAGACCAGGAACTGCGCGAGACAGCGAAATGTAAGACGCCTGAGAATTGGCCAGAAAAATTCGATACTGATTTTAATAACGACAGAAAATGAGTTAGCTTTGCATATCATTTTTCATTTTCTTCGTTGCTTTTTTATTCTTCGTATTAACAGCTCACTTTAGTACTGTCTAATTTCATAAAAATGATTTTTAAAGTAACATTTCAACTGATATTAATACAACGATATATAAGGTGGCCAAAAAGTAGTAAGTAGCAAGACAAGGAAAATTCTTATAGTTAGCTTTGCATATCATTTTTCATTTTCTTCGTTGCTTTTTTATTCTTCGTATTAACAGCTCGCTTTAGTACTGTCTAATTTCATAAAAATGATTTTTAAAGTAACATTTCGACTGATATTAATACAACGATATATAAGGTAGCCAAAAAGTAGTAAGTAGCAAGACAAGGAAAATTCTTATGATAAGTTTTAAAATATTCTAGAAACGGTTACCGCAAGGAAAATTGTTACGGCAATGAAGATTCTTATGATAATTGTTAAAATATGACATAATTTTTCAAAATGTTATTCGTTCGCACGGATGAAAAAAGAATTGTTTGCGAATGTTTTACTAGCAAGTAACGGTTGTTCCACTTCCAGAATACAAATAGTAATAAAATGGTAATGAAGTAGATCGAGAGTATTACCATAGTGAACTAATCTAAGTAGTAATATTACAGTCAAATGAAAGAACGTCAATACTGTTGGTAATTATTCTTTAATGATAATTTTTTATAACAGTATCAGTATCATTTACGATTGTAATTACGCTGATTAATGTTGATTTTATTCAGAGTCATTATGTTTGCTTTACTAAACATACTTTTTACTAACTCACTTGTATATTATAATCGAATTTAGAATAGAATTCTTTTTAGTAGCAAAAGTTACTAAACTACAGTACGTGTCAAAAGTTCCCGAACTCTGAGTTTAATAATTTATCATGGTGGAATAGACGTTAAATGTCTAAAATGGTTAAAATTAAGAAAGAAGAAAAAATGTCGATATGTAAATCGTATGATTTGGCAACTCGAGTCCAGAATCTTTTGTGACACCCTGTATAGATTCGGCGCAACAGGTTTCACAAAAACATTTTTCACAAATAAATGTTTGTAGAGGCGTACTTGTTTTCTGTCTATCATCGGGTCATACGTCAATGATATTTTCATTGACGCGATCGTTATTGCATTAAAAAAAACTGCTGTTTCAACGAGCTTGTAAATTAACATACTCGCGCGTACACGATCATGCGCGCGCATGCGCGCCCGCTCTCATTGCGAAAACATTTATTCCGCGGTTCGGACTCGTTGCGCATTTCCATTTCCTCCTGGCCAGGTCAATCGGTAGTGAATGAAAAATTCGATGATCTTCGACTTTCGATCCAATTTATTGGCATTAGCTCCTAGATAACTTTTAACCAGCCGCTGTATTCCCCGGACAGTTTGTCGCGTTAATTTCTTGTTTACATTTGGGCGCGATGTAGTAATACACTTTGCATAATTGCGATATCCCTTTGGAGTTTTCCAAAGGACTGTACCAGTATGCTCTTCTCTTGATATCTAAGTGGTTTCAAAAAAGAATGTTACAAACAGGAAAATTTTGATCACACGTTTTGAAAAATTGTTAAACTGTTTAAAAAAATTGAACTGTGACATATATGCCGAGAAGTTGTAAAAACATTGATCATATTGTACTTATAAATGTACCGATTTATATTAACTTATTATGTAAAATACTTAAATGAATTTTATATGGAATATTATTTGATTTACGTGTTAACAATATTTCATGAATTGTTTAAATAACACAGATGACCGGTTTACTATTTTCTTCATCCTGTGCCGAAGTTCTCGGGTAAATACCGTGCTGTTCCTTACTGTTCTCTTACCAGAAGGCACCTCGACTTCCGGCTACTTGCCATCGCTAAACTTTCTCGTGCTTTCTTCCAATCAACCCTGTGATATCCGATAACTACGTGACTTCAAGTCACTGGCAATCGTTGGTCGTCTAGACGGTCTCTTTTCATAAACACTCTCTGTAGCCACGCGTAATCTAAGTACCTGCTATAAATCTTACGAAAGCAAAACAGCGGCGAGCTAATTGCCTTCGACGACCCTTAACGTACGTATTAAAATATTGTAGATGATCTTGTAATAACAGGATGCATTGAAATAAACATATTCCTGGTGATAAAAGATGCCAAAAATTTCGTTACTGATTTATGATAAAAAGTTTCACTCTCGAGTTGCGAAGAGTAGAAGTGTTTGGGTCCCATTTTTCGCGCCTGATTTTTAAACTTGGAGCAGCTGCGCGCGCAGCCCAACGGGACATGCGCTCTCGAGGCGCGTGTACTTACATACATTTCGCACATAATTAACGAAAAGAAGAATATAGCGCGATCGTAATATCAGCAAAGATGTCAAAGTACATATGTTTCGAGCATCGTAAAAACTATTGAATGGATACATAAATGGGAAGATAAGAACTGGAGACATTATTCAGAATGAAGTATTTCAACTGTGATTTATGTCAACCCCTTATGATTATATAACCCCTTAACAGTCGGATTTTCGCGAGACAGGGTGACCAAAAATTGTCAGATTTTGTTTTTACATTTTATTAGAAAATAATTACCAAGTAATATTAAAACAATTTTAATTTTGAATTTATTCAATAAGTCTTCTTGGTATGCTATATTTTCTTTTTATATACACTTTGGTATATTTTGTCAGTACACGAGCAAGCCCCGTGCCCGAGTTACGCTCGGGCAAAACTGCCAAGTGGTTAACCAGCTTTTCTTATCAGCAATTTGAAAGAAAGATTTTATGTGTGATTTATTACTTTCCGAAGAATGGGTAAGTTAGAAGAAGTGTATAAAAATGACATATATCCTATAATGTCACAATTAGTACGGAACTGAAAGCTTCTACAATGGACGTTAATTTTCGATCGCCAAGTATGTACGAATATTCAGTTATAGTAATTTACACATTTTTGTGAATTAAGAGAATTGCTCTTTACTCGAAAGACACAAAAAAAAATAAGAACTTTTACAGTTTTTTTTTTTTTACAGAACTGATAAGAGATAATTGAATGGTAATTTCTTGGATCAATTAGGCAATGTTTTAAAAGGAAATTGATGCAGTAGCCTTGCGATACTGTAGATTTCTCCTGAAGTAGATTGGGATCATAAATTCAACTGTGATTATGATCTATAGGAGGAGATCCCCTAGCGCCGGACACTTACGGTTTTTCTTAAATAAATCTCTCTACCTGTGCACACGCGACTGAAACGCGTAGAAAACTTATTTTTATTCCTTTTGTCTCCTCTAGGAGATTCGCTGAATAACGGCTCGGTAGCGTTTCAATTATTGCAGATACAACTAATGTCTCATATTAGGTGCCGCCCGGCGTTAAGGAAACTCCCCCTACATGGTTTTTAATAGGGCAAATTGAATATATTGGAAAATGTTAATAGTTGTGCAAGTGTTTAAGAAAAACGTTCGATAGAAGAAAATTTGAAATTTTTTAATAACAAATTTTCACTTTTTTGAACCGTTGAACCGAGCAACCCCCTTAATGTTGTTTCTGTTTCTACGTTGCATTTTTGCGTGTGCAAGATTAATTACTTTCAGACATATTTGTATCTCGTGTTTAAAAGATGTGTATCCTGACACAAGAATAAGAAAAACTAGGGCAGTAGAAGGTCAGTCATTATTGCGTAAATCGTAAAAGATTCTGAATACATCGTCGAAGTGATGAAACATTAGATTCCCTCGAACAACACAGTTTCAAACAACGTGGTTTCGATTATGCGCGTTTTTTTTTTTTTTCTTGAAAAATTTTGACCTTCATTTCGAATCAATTTACATATTTAGCGTACCTTCACAATTTTCCTTAGCATGGCGAATAAGAGAGGTGAGAAAGAGCTAATGCGAATTCGTTCCTGTGAACTAATTCCTCAGAAATTGCGGCTGCGTAGAAGAAGTGTTGGTACCGAATTCAACTATACAACGAACAGCCGAGCTTTCGAGAAAAATCAAACGACCAATGTGTTGTTGCGAACTAGAAGGAGCTACATTTAAGTAATTACGTAATACGTGCGTGTGTCTGTGTGTGTAAGTATATGCACATGCATTGGAAGAATAGAAATGTCTTCAGTCTTTTGTAAAGACAGGAAGAGGGGTGGAGGGGTGGTTCCCAACTATGCGGTTATCCATCTACGGGGATAGTCGGCGTCCCTAACCTCCGCGTTGTTCAAGGGAGCATTGTACAGGCCTTAAGATTTAAAAAGTTTTCTAATGTTTCTCAAAAGGCGAGAGCAATAACAGAGAACTAAGAACAACAATTTCTTACACGTCGAATTTCTAATGTATTCAGCGATGAAATATAATATTTATCGAAATAAAGTGGACAATATAAGATAATGTTGTCCTCCAGATTGTCTAGGCAACGCATTTGCGTAACGCGCTCCCGTATAAATTCTACTGTTCCTTCAAATTTCAATTTTAATACTTAAATGACGTTGAACATGAAATTTCTCGTCAAATTCGCTGAATGCTCGCTTGTATTTTGTAACTAGTAATGTCGTTTTATTTTATAATAATTCCAGCAAAAGGAACGCAACGAGACGAAACGAACCAGAGTTAATTAGTTTAATTAAATGATAAATACGCGAAGGATGAGTGCGACGCATGGACCAGATATTTTCGGTTCATGAAATTAAGACGATTGCTGGTTAACTTATCCTGCTAAATAATGAACTTAATTGCGCGAATAAATTTAAATGATGTTTCGGACATCTCGAATTAAAATGAACGATAGAAATAATTTTGAACTAGTTAAAACAGCTTAAAAAAAAATTATATTCTTTTGGATTCTTTCAGTAAATAAAAATGTAAAAATAATTATACGAATTTGAATCCTTCATAGTTCACAAATAAAATTAAATATCAGAATTTGGTCAACAAGTGCTTATTTTTAATTAGTTGAAATTTTTGAACAAATCAATTTTAATATTAAAGTTTAATTGGGTATTATTAAGTTAGTTCGTTCAATTATAGTCATATCAATGTTTGGAGATAATACGTCAAGTACATTGCTATAATAAAATCAGGCAACTCTTAAAATAATATTTTTTTGGTAGATACGATGTTTAACAAGGATATTCCGTCTCAATAATGACCCTTCAACGCTAATCTAGAGGTATTCTCTTCGGTGTTCAGAGATATGTATTCGATTTGAAGGAGAACTATGTTTTTATACTTAACAGAGTAGATACTTCAAACAAAGCTTATTGCGTAGTGTAAATTAAAAGTGTAAACAATTCTGCATACTTCTTCATATTTTCCTGGTTTTTAATAGTTTTTCTCTCGAATAGTGAACATTTATGCACGCACATAACTCTCTCGAATAGTGAACATTTATGCACGCACATAACTTCAGATATTATTAATGAAATAATACAAGAAGTTCTGTTTAAAATTATTAACTCGTCTACGTTAAGGTTTATGTATTTGAATTAAAATTATTTCAATATTATATATTCTATGTTATTTATGTTATATTTTCATTCTTGAAACTTCCTATCATTGTCTCTGACAAAATTATCGTATCTTCTAAGGCGTTAAAAACCTTTCTTTCGGATGTTTTTTCCCAGCAATGTTAAATTTACCTGTTAATAATCAATAATTACTAGAAGTAGAATTTTCTTTAATTGATAAATTCAACAGATAAAGGCGGGAACTGTGATTTAACATTTCGCTTTTGCTGATTTTTTTTTACAGATTTGGCGATAGCGGTAGGACAAGAAGTGAATTTTTACGCGCAAAACAAGACGCTAATAGGACAAGCAAAATTGGCGGATGCTGTGTCCCTAGGCGGGGTGGCATATGATGATACCACACGAACAATGTATTTCAGTGATCCGCAAAACACAAACGTGTCCATATTTAGTAACGACTTGACAGACAAGAATTTCACATCGAAACCGTTAGTTAAAAGTAAGTATATTCAAATAATATTAGTAATTATTTTATTCTTTATTCAGATCATTTAGCTCATTGGACAGTGTTTAACCCCTTACCTTATAATTTTTCAATGGCTATCTCTTTTAAACCTAGGTACTCATCGCTTAAATGATAAACACTAAGACACTACACAGGATGACCCATTTAAATCAGCCTCCTTGAATATCTACGAAACTGCTCACGATACCGAAAAATGTTTCGAGTAAAACTTGTATGGTCTGGAGAGGCGCCTTTTTTTTTTAAACAAGGTCAATTTTGTTTTTTAAAATATCATATATTTTTGAATGCATTGTTCGATGCAGGTTGTCGTTCGCTACAAAAAAGTATTAAGCCACTTGCGGCAAAAGGCCATTAACCCCTCAGCGACCGATGTCGCCGAACGAAAACTGTCCTTTGCGGCCCGCAGTACATAGCTTACCTTAGAAGGGAACCTCGGTAACCCGAAAATTTCGATTTTTTTGAAACTTTGTGGGTTTGTAGGGAACTTTAAGAGAAGTATCGGGCAATCTTTTATTTTGGCCCAAATTCGGTTCTTCGGGGTGAAAACAGCCCTTGAATGAAGATAAGTGTTACCCTATTTCCCTGTATATCTTTAAAACTATAGTAGATATAAAAAAATGTTTATAATAAAAATTTCATGGCTTTTTATGCCTTATAAGTGTTAGCACAACTTAAGTAGATTTAACACAGGATAGGGTATTAACCAAAAATGTATTAAAGTATAGTGATAAGCGACTGCTAAATGCTTCGGAGTCCGTCTCGCTCGACACGGCTATTCCCAAAGTGTCCTCTCCGCGTCGTATTCCGCGTTGCTCCGAAAAACCGTTGGAGCCCCCTCGTTCGACTTTCCGGGGAAACGGCTTAGTTTATGTTACCCTCAGGTACCCGCGCGGTTTCTCTTCCTGGGTGGCAAAGTCCAGACCGCCAAAATCTCGCATTTCTTACATAAGACTGTGCTATTAAATTAATAAAAATTCTTCTTTTAAATAAAAAATCTTCCACTACCGTTGTGAAAACTTTTGACTTTTCTGTCATATCGAGAAATATGTCAAGTAATAAATTTCGATTCTACCTAACATTGTGTATATATTATACGCATACATCCTTCAGTGAGTGACAAACAGTTCCCACTACGATATCGCAGTTTAAATAAACAGATCAACTGCAGACGCGACCAGTAGGTCGCCCTGATACGGACCCGGGCGACGTGTGAAAAACACAGGGTCCGTACGAGATACGGAGGTGGTCGCCGAGGGGTTAATGTAGGAGGTATTTTAATTTGAATATCATATAACGGTATTATACTACATTTATTTTCTTAAAGTTGATATATAAAAGTATGTTCTTCAACCTGAATCTCTAAATGACCTATCAACCCTTTCTAGCGTTTCTTTAGAAATTTGTTGTCATGCCTGAAGGGTCCTCTGCTTTAAGGAAGTCGTTCGAGTCATTCTTATCGATAAACTTTGTTTTATAAATATGCCCGCAAAGGAAATCTAATGGTATCAGATCTGATGATCATCTCGGTAGAAATTCAACAGACCCACTTCGTCCAATTCAATAATTGTGAAACTGTTCATTTAATAATGACTCTTGAAAGTCATTTAATTGATATTAAAATATCTCCTCAACTAATGATTTTTCGACATAAATAGTTTCATATTTTTTTAGAAGAAATGGCGAGCTACGTCGGTTAATGCATTCAAAGATATATCGTAGAGATTACAATAGATTAGAATTGTACATGTATACAGGGTATCATGTAACTGGTGGTACAACAGGACAAATAAACTAAATCAAAAATATAGAATAACATTGTTTCATGCAAGACCTTGTTTCTGAGAAAATTGAATTTACTGTTTCGCTACAAACTGTTGCTTCAGCTTATACTTTTACGTTGATAAACAGTGGTAATGCCACATTTCGCAAAGAAACAGTCTATGCAGAAGATAGCGTAAATGTGCAGCTAAAAGAAATAATTGTAGACTTTCACATAATTAAAGCGTCAAAATAATGTATCATCAGTCCACGACACTCCGATTCAAAACGTCTGGATTTGTGTGCGTTAACACGGACGTCACTTTCAACAATTCGTTTAACAATGTAAATTTAAATGAAGGACACCGTTAATAAATGGATTATCGATACTTTTCGTAACATTGGTATTGTTTATCAGTACAAATATAAAAGCAGAGAGATAATTAAATACACGCGCACTCGACGAATTTTTAAACTCAATTTCCTCGAAAGCTAAACCTCTTATGAAAAAATTTTATTCTATATTTTCGATTCAGTGTTTCATGTAGAATCACCACCTTCCCGTTTGTACCACCAGTTAACATGACACCCTGTATTTAAGCGGGTATTCAGGTTGAAGAGGTAGACGTGCAAATAAAGTGTTTGAACCAGAGAGATAGATGTGCTTATAGTTGCAGAGTTACGAAGCATAGAGACATTGCTGTTATTAATATAATAGTGAAGCATTACAGGCGCTTAAAATAACAGATATTAATTAAAACAACCGTGTGTATTGTGTGTACCACTGCCCTTTTTCCCGATTTTATACGCTTCTTCGGCCGTTAGGGCCCTGCAAGCCTGCGCTGCTCCCTGTCTAGGGCCCCCTGCGGCTTGGGTCCCGCCTTACATTTGGTGTGTATGATTCATATGTCCTGAACGGGACATTTGCGGAAGCATCTGATGTATCATACGTAAGCGTGGACCCAAACACTATAGTGCAGCCAAAAACTAGTTGTATCAAATTGTGTGCCCACCGAAACTAATCAACTTTTATTCGAAAGATTTTTCGATGTCATCAACAGTTTTGTAGATATTCGAAAGGACTGATTTAAATTGGACACCCTGTATATACATATTTGCGATTTAGTAATCTTGAGACTTATAAACTAAAGCTAATGTTGCCTCGCAAGAAATCGCGACGGACCCTCGGTCTGGCGGATTATCGTCATAAACTTGTTCAATTACACTTGGCCGCCAGACCGAGGTACCGGTCCTCTCGCGCGTACCGTATCCTCCGTGGAGAGGTCACCTCCTGGGAAAAACCCAAAAATGGGGGTTTTCTAATGTTAAGCAACAATCCCCTTCGCTTGGAAAGAGCTGCGTCCCACTTAAACAACCTCCTCTAATGAGGAGCCAGCACCTACAACCCCCAGAAGAAATCGGCCACCAATCAGCAACTGGCCGAGCGGATGAAACTAAGGAAACGAGGCAGAAGCGCGTCCTTTTTTGGAAGTCTTGGCAGTTGGTCTTACGAAAATTAGCATTTTGATAGTCTCGCAGCGACATCACCTCAAGTATCACTCTGTTGCAAATAAAACTAGTTCTTAGCATTTCACACTGAATAAATCAAGGTGTGATTAAACTCGCGTACCGGTTCGGCAATTAAGCATCGAACATTACGCGACCCGAACAGCTAAAATGACAGTTTATTACAAACACAACTGACTTTTGTCATATCTTAACCATAATCTACACCACGAGTGTGACTCGTTATTATATAGCAACAGGTTAATTCAGACAGAAAATGAAACATTTTCATTCAGGAAAGTGTTACAAGTGCCTTTTTTTAATTATACAAGGTCTTCCTGAAGTCATAATATGAATTTTAATGATATTAATGCAGGATGCAAGTACCTTTATTAAATAGAATTGCTTTGTAGCTAAGTAAGAAAGTTCCAATGTTTTAAAATCGTCAAGCTAAATTTGTTCATCTTTTTTTCAGAATAAACTGAAATGTTGGTGACAATGCATCGAAGAAACAATTGTTACGAATATAAATGTTATTTTTATTCAGTGGACATTTTTTAGATACTGTTTTATCTGAAAATCCTCTGAGTGCTCGGTAGGGTGTTCAAAGTACATAGTGCTAATTTTTCTCATTGACAACAATTAGCACTTATCGAAACAGGAAAATTTCAACGCGAATATTCTTTTATCCAGTATTCTTTTCCATTTAAAAAACTTCAATGCAGTAGAAAAAAAAAAAAGGAATGAATTCATTATGAAGAATCTGGAAGTGTCGCTCTCGTAATCATGAGAAAGAACATAACACGCCTCTTATCTCATAAGTACCCGGTGTAGGTTAATCTAATTATAAATTTCGATTGAAAGTATAAAGGATTCATTGTTACATTTTATTTAAATCAAAGGAATTCAGTTAAATGAAGAAAACTGGCTCGTTTGTTCGAAATATTTTATTTTCTTAGAAACATTTCATTAATTTATTCGAATTATTGCAAAATGAAACTTCAATATCAAATCACGGAACTGATAAGGGGATAATGGGATTTAGACAGTGGAAAAAACGTTCTTTGCTGATTCATCCTATTAATCGTGTTATCTATCGTGCCAGCTTGTTGATTGATAATTTTTGATTCCCTTTTGATTCGACGGAAGAGTGTTTTCAAGTGCATTTTAGTGAAATATTAACAGTCTTTCTTTTACACACTTCACGATTATTTTTATCTGCCCGATTATGTTCTACTCGTGTAATTAGTTTTGAACTGCTTATCAGTTATTTGATGAATAGTTAAAGAGATAAAATGTATTACTGTGCAAAGGTATGATACGAGAATTTTCAAGCCAGAATTTGCACAAACATCGATATTTCAAAGTTGGATCCAATGTTTTTCATTTTCAGTTAATAGCAAGTTTTCCACAAAGGTACGCAGATCTAGAAGAAACCTGGAAAGGACAGCGATAACGTTGAAGTTTTCATCCTTCAATTTATTACGCTTATTTAAAAAAAAAAGAAGTTTTGCTATTCACTTTAACAACCGAGGGAAAAATACTATTATCTGTTGGATGCATTGGTGGTGCCTTCATTTGTCACGAAAAAAATATTTCTGTAACGCGTACTTTTACTCGACCACGACAATGAGATCTCACTACCTGATAGTCGCACGAGTAAAGGTTTTTAGGAGCAGGGTAGAGCGAGGAAGTTTAACTTGATGCACTTGGTTCGAGACAGCTGAGATCCTTCTGCCAAGTTTTGTCAAAGTCGGATGTAGGATGTTGTCGGTAAAGAGGGAACCTTGACATTCGACGCACTGGGTTCCGGATGACTAGGACCCTTCTGTCCAAATTTGTCGTAGCCGGAGGTAGTGTCTTAGGATTTGCTTGATTTGCATAGGTCAGGATAGCTGTGATCCGTCTGCCAAGCTAGTCGAGTAAAGACTGACTTTTTGCCTTTTTTTTTAGTTTTGTTACCGATTCAACCTGAAAATTGTGTAGAGCCACCTGGAGTCAGTCCTCTTTATGCTCTGAAAAAATTTTAAGTACGTTAGATATTTTGATAATAAATATTTGGTGTGAAAACCATGCATGGGCATAATTTCGTGCAGGATAATTTTCAAAAAACCTGCAAAGTGGAGAGCAAAGACTGACTTTTTGCCAAAAAAAAGAAAAGAAAAGAAAAGAAAAACCCCGCTCTTATATACATATGTTCGCACCCTCGTCCGCCCAATCAGTGGCAAGGCAAGAGTTTTATGATTCTTCATACCTGCCCCGCCGCGCGTACATCGTAGAGCCCCATGAAAAGTACACGTATCGGCTAGTTTACAAAAATGTGTGCGCTACATTTCTTAGGTGATAAAACACCGGAGAAGGATTTTAGTGTTTTAGAATAGATTAAGTACCGGATTTTTCAAATTTACCCTTATATTTTTGAATTTTTATAGTATGAACGAATATTGAAGTTCTCGTACTATGTATAGACAGGATATAGCATCTGCTTCTTCGTAGTTCTTTTTTTCTTTTTTTGTGTTAATAGAATAAGGAAATGCTACTCGTTGGACACAAAAACTATGTAAGTTAAATTGCGAAATGCCTGTAAAATGGACTATTTAAACAAAAATAAAAGAATGAAGCTATTTAAATCCTTCATTTGCCACCACCAGCGGAAGAAAATACAACAGAACGTTTAGTATATCCTATGCAGGGTGCTTCCTCTAACTTAAGCATCTAAAATATCTCCATTCCAATATTGAATGAGGAAATTATCCTGTTCAAAGGAGCAAATGTTACTATAAAGTAAAAATTTGTTTGTCATTGTAATTTGTTATTGTCAAAGCTGATAAAAGAACCTTGATTGCAAGCAAGATTGACCTTGTTTAGCCTGAATATTATGTTCAGTCTTTTATGGTGGACAATTTTATTTTGGGAATTTCCAGGGAATCAATCATAAATTTAATTTGCCTGATGATCCTTACTATAAAATACATACGTTATATACTTATGAACTACAGCGTATTTTAATAAATTGTTATTATTTCCTTAGAAATTTGAAAATTTCCTCCACGTATTTTGTACCCCATAATTCACTAACACGAAGTACTTTTAATTTTCAATGTTCAAATGTATGAATTGCAAGCATTAAATTATAATCCTTAATAAAGAATGCTTCATTACCGACAGGATTAAACGGCAGTTACATCAAAGGACTTGCCTTCGACACGAAGACGCGAACCCTGTTCTGGAGCGACGCCTCGAGAGAGAGAATTATGAAGATGCACGTGCCATTAGACGGTCCGCCAGAAGAGCCGACGTTGCTACACAATTTGCCGCACCAGAGTCCGAACGGCATCGCTCTGGATATATGTAACAGGTGTGTCATTTATGTCCTACGTAGAACGGTGACGCGGCTAACTTATTCACATTCCACTTAGAATTTCGCGTCAAGTGAAAAAAAAAGTCTTCTCGATACGTGTAACGATATGAATAAAAAGTAAATCGAGACAAACATTCATATCCTATAGCAGAACGTTAGTACATGATAATTTACGTTGTTTACAGTCACATATACTGGGTAAATAGCAATAAGACGAATTCGAATATCCAGCGGTCGAATTTAGACGGAAGCGATCATATGATCGTGCTCGAACATCTGGAGGAAGCTATATCCGTCGCTATAGATCATTACGCGAACAAGCTCTACTGGACCGACGACGTTGAGGGTACACATTTCAAAATCGAGCGCAGCAATCTCGACGGCACTGAACGAGAATTGATGGTCCAGGCGATTCGCCAGCATCCGATTTACTTAGCAGTAGATCAAAACTCGATATACTGGTCCGATGTAGTGCACAAAGCTGTGTGGACATCGCCAAATAAGAACAAAACCGTTGATGTGCCTAGCACGACACAGACGTACTTCGCGCTCTATAAAACACATCCAGGCGGAATCGTAGCGCGTGATAACGTCGGTACGGTAGATTGCGCAGCGATCGCGAGGATCAGACAGAAGGCCAGCCAAACTATAGGGTCGTATAATAATTTGACAACCAGTACGGAGGAATCGGAACTGACCACCGAGACGTTCAAGTACTGCTTAAACGACGGACACGTGAACGACAAAAATGGCAACTGTCAGTGCAAGTCTGGGTGAGTGTTTAAACGACGATGTTTAATTTGAATTTGTTCGAAGGAATTCAGAGGATTCAATCATTTTTGGTGACATAGAGAATTGAAATTTTTGTGATTGAAATTTCCTAAGAATTGGAAGAATTTTGTTAGAATTGTAGAATTGTCTTTGAAGAAGTATATGATAAGTAGAATTTGGAGTAAATAGAAATTCAATTGTTTCAGGTTCATTGGCACAAATTGTGAGATAGATCTTTGTCACAATTACTGCATCCAAGGCAACTGCAGCATAAATAGTGATGGATTACCAATGTGTAAGTGCAATAAGACATTTGTTGGACCAAGGTGTGAAACAAACCCATGTAAAGACTATTGCTTACATGATGGTCAGTGTTCTATTCAAAATGAGAAACCAGTTTGTAAATGTAAATATTCAGAGGGATCTCGTTGTGAGAGTTTAAGCAATACTACTGTGCTTTGTGAAATATTTTGTGCAAACACTGAGTCAGTTCCTACCAGTGTAGCTACTGCTACATGCAGGTACATTGCTTTCATTCCTACTTTATTAACTAGTATTAAATGAATTGTTTATATAATAGAAGAAAGCAGAAAATTTTAAATAGAGATTAATATAAAAGTAAACTTTTTTCCACAATTAAACAAAACATAAATTATAATAAATTTCTGTTCTGTTATTAGGTGTGCAGAAGAAAGGAAAGGATTTGCACAAATGGTCACGTTTAGAGAGAACGATGAATACGGAACGTTGCTACCGATCTTTAGCGCGTTCGTTTGCGTGCTTGTTCTCGTGATAATTGTACTTAGTTACTACGTGAATAAATTCCGAAGACGACCACGTATCAAAAAACGTTTCGTTGTCAGTAAAGGTGGTGTGACGCCACTCACTTCTCGGCCACAGCTGCCAGATAATCAATGTGAAATAACAATAGAGAACTGCTGCAACATGAATATCTGTGAAACTGTGAGTGAACCATCAGCTAAAATATGAAAATCATTTGTGTGCATGCTAAGTATGAATACATATGGGCAATGAGTTAGGAGGTGTAAGACATATATACAGGGTGCCTGTTTTATCTCAATACAGCAAAGTATCTTTTAAGGAAGTAATGTTAGGAAAAAAATGTATTAACAAAAGTTGTTTGGTATAGAGGGGGACGTTATCTGGTGTAAATATTTTTTTTGTACCTGGTATCATGGGGAAGATTTCAAAGTCAGTTTAATTTTTTTAAATGGAATGCTATATTTTTTTATACATAATATGATAGTGTATGTTAGGACGAGTTCAACGAATAGAATAAGTACCTACCAATATGTTCAATTTCGAATTATTGAAAACTTCCTTCTATGGGTAACCCCTCCACATGTCCTCCATAATCCCCCCCACCAAACAACTTTTGTTAAAACATTTTTTCCTAACATCACTTCCTTAAAAGATATTTCGCTGTATTGAGATAAAACAGACACCCTGTATATGGTCATATATGTATATGCTGCAGTCATATGAGTATCCAGGGAAAAAGAATCAGTGAAACATTTTGAGAAAATTTAAACATGAATTTCAGTTAAAAGAACTGTTTCTTTTTCCTTGCATAACAAATTTTATTCGGGTGTCATTTTGTCTCTATTTTTTTAAATTGATACTGCTTGTTACTTAATTATAATTAAGGGTGCCTAATTATATCTAGGATATCTAATATTTAATTATACTGAAATAATTGCATATTTATTGTTTACTAACTTTGATGCTATTTTATTAAAATTTTCGCCATTAAATTGTGATACTTGTTGCTGATTAGTATGCAACTGTGCATGAATTCGCATTGCTTGAATCGCTGTTATACGAAGTACATATATCTGTACATTAATCTTTTTTATTACATTTTTTTATAATTCAAAATTTGTGATCATTGTATTGTACTTAATTATACCTGAGTGCTGCAGTATAAAGTAAATTTTTAATAATTAATGACTATGAGTTAAAGAGACTTGTATTATTAAAACTTTTAAGTTCCAAACTAATAAAAAAATCGAATATAAAAAGGTTACTTGGAATTAATAGTGACCTCTCTGTAGAATAGTATTATGTATACAAAATTATTTAATGTGAAGGCGCTAAACAATTTCATTGAACATAATTTATTTTATACAAGCCACTGTATATCATTTATTTATACATAGATCAACTCTTAAATAAAGCTTTTATATTTATTTCACAAAGTAATCTTTTAAATGTAGAGTTAGTTATACCCATTATCATTTCTTTTCTTTTCTTTGTTAATTAAAAATTTTATTTCCTGTATATAATCATTTCAGTGACTAGAAGTTAGGTAGCTACCGGGTTTAAAGGCTTCATTAAAGTTCACCGCTTTCGTCGTGCTTTCCATTATCAGAATTTCAGAATAAACTTAACCGGACCCGTGTTACTTAAACTTTTATCTTTTACAGCCATGTTTCGAACCGAAATTATGTACCGCACCGCCGGGAACTAATGGTACTAAGAAAGAAGAGAAGAATTCGTTGCTCGATAATATGGAGGAGAATTCGTGGTAGCATAGACTAATATTTCGACGTGTCGATTGGCGAAGATTTTGTGGACTTAACGTGAAGTCTGTGGAAAGTTTAGGTTCGCGAGACTGCATGTCTGTACATACCGCAGAATGCTGTAGTATTATTGTTATGTTTAGTACCGATGCTTACAAAATTTACGGAGACACCGTAACGATACAGTCAAGAAAAAGGAAGCTAAAAGTCTTTTCGAGGACTCTTAATTTTTATTATGTCATCTAATATGTAGGGCTGTGTTCATGTAACGATTATTTCATCTAGCTGTTAAAGGGTTATCAATCTTTTTTAAAGATATACAATTATATATTTTTCATAAGAGAACAGGAAATCTTCAGTTCCACGGCATTTTTTCTAATGTCCTGGTGTATAAATAACAGAGAGATATATATACATATATTATATACATAAAACATACAGAAACTTTATACAATATTATGTTTGATATTTCCTAGTTCTCTCATTTATTCCTTGTTCATTTTGAACCGTTTTTGGAAGCTGCATATTTTCAAGCGAATAGTACCAAAAATTAATTCTGATTGCAAATGAAAGGTATATAACGTTTACCTTAATTGCTAGGCTTAATGATTGCTCAACGTACTATTGAGTACATTTCGAAAGAAAAAAACGAAACTTTTAGATTACAAGGTGATTATAGTAACTTTCATTGTATTTATGAAAAAAGTCTAATTGAGGCTATCATCGAACTTAACAACTCATTCGTAACAATTTCTAACCATTAAATTATTAAATCAGATCATTACTTTCAGTTCATTTATGTTTGTTTTCAAGTGCATACGTGTATCAAAGAAGAACTATTTTGGAAAAAGTTTTATGTATTTACATATCGTTTTACTAAGAAAGGAAATGCTAAGGTTTAGAAAGAGCAATATTAAATACCAAATAACTTTGTTTACTGCCCTTTACATTTAAGAAAGTATAAAAATGTAATTCGGGCAGCTTTGAAAAAATAGTTTCGACATCAAAATTGGCATGAATGGTTTTATTTCTAAACGATTGCAACTATTTGTATAAAGATTGTACAGCGCGATTTTGTACATTTATCAAGTATATGCACATGATTCTTTAGTAGAAAAAAAGGTCAGGGCATTAAAGATCATAATCCATCGCTATGAATTAAGTATTTGCAATCATGAATAATAATAAAAATCGTTAATGTAAATTATGGACGTTTACACCCATAGAAAGTACAACAAACTTGTTGAATTTTTTTTCACAGACTGAAGGATTCTTTGTAATCTCTTAGTTTTTGAAATAGAGTACAAATGATCATATATTTAAGTGAAAGTAACTTATACGAAATATGATAAAACGATGGAGAGAACTATTTGAAATTGTCATATTATTTTCCGTTTTATTGCTTCCAATGATTATGTATCTCAAATTGTACTTTCTATCGCTCTCTTTATACTTAAGCTATACAATTGTTCACTGCCAATGGTAGTTAAATTTTACAATGTATAGCTTAGAATAGTGTACTACGCGATATATTGCGTAGAAAACTTAAATTTATACCAAAGGCATATGTAACATTATGATCATTAAGTATAGTAGTATGATTTATAAAAAATTATTATTTCAAAATAACGTTAACGATTAAGTTAATAGAATTTCATGTGTATAGTAATATTAGTAATAGTAACACGCCTTTGTCGAACCAAATAATATTATATTGAACAAGTAGATAAAACAGGAAAGTAACTGTAGCGCGGCAGTAGTAATTATGGTGCAAAGGCGTAATGCAGCTATTCTGTTACAAACTCATCTATGAACATAAAAGTACCATTTATTATTGGGGTACATATAATTCATTATTTCACGAAAACAAGGATAACGTTTGTTACTGTTTGTTTTCAATATGTACTTTTATTTTTTACACTGCGGAGTAACGTTCCTGTCGTCTTAGAGGCAAACTAAAAACGTGACGATTTATTCTGTTCCTGTATACGATGCGAATAATTTAAAGACCATCAATCCTTGCAATGTTGCAATCATTTCTCATATAATTTATTAGGCAACTTGATATAAAATATTTGTATTATTTGTTAAATTGCAAAATACGTTAAAATAGAATGATACTAATGATATGTATATTGAATATATGCGGAATGTAGTCCTTTCTCGAGCACTCATCCCCAGAGAAGGGATAGTGGATTTATAGTGAAAGGCTTATATTCCCTGCTAACAAACTGTCTATAGATAATTTCTAAATAGCCAAATTGCAATTTTTATTTTTATTCTTTTTGTGTTGGTATTTAATTTGATCGATATCAGTATGTAATAAGAGTATTTTATTCTTTTAACAATAAAATGTACTTTATTGATATATCGCTGAACGTTTTGCGTTACTTAATTAAATTTAATTATGAGGTACTTAAATTATTATATTGTTTTAATAATAAAATACACTAAATCGATTTGTATTGGAAGTACAGAAATTTCAAAATTTTTGTATCACTCTATTACGATTAACATGGTCGCTGCTGTATACAAGTAAGAATGAAATAAAAATAATTAAGTACTAGTATATATATTTTTCATGTTTTTACTTGATAATATTTAAAGTACATTGCTTAAGTTCCTTGCTAAGCTATATCGCACCCTTCCTACTCTACTAAAGATAAATAAAATAAAAAAAGGTCCTGTCCTATTAAAAAAAATTAAGTAAGGTGGAGAACAATGTATTAACTATAATAAAATTATTATTAAAATAATTACATGCAAAACGTGAGTAAGGAAATAGAATATGTATATAACTCACTAATATTAATTTCACTAGTCTGCTTTTAACTGATTTTCGGGTAAAACTACCTTTTCACCAGGTTTAAATGCAGGCATGCCAAGATATGGACAACTGGCACATCTGAATGCATCACCAAGATAACACTGTAAAAGATATATAATTTCATTTTATTTTGTATTTTTAAATTTCAAACAAAAGGAAAATGAATAAATTACACACATTTCCACATGAAGATTTGGCAGTTCCTTCTTGTGCAGTTTTTCCACTTAATTCTTCAGCTAAGCCACAGGTGCAATCTTTACATGCTTTTCTTTTACCTGTTGTGCTACATACTAAAATGTAAATATAAAACTTAATAATCTTTTTTTATATCAATAATTTACTTATTTCTTAGTTATACATCTAATATATATAAAATTTTAAATAAAACTGGCCATTAACAAAATATAAAAAATTTTTAAACTTACATGTTCCATAATTGTAATCAACAAAGAATTAATGAAACTGTTACGAATGAAACATAAATTGAAATGTTTAATTTACCTTTCAAACTAGTGGTTATAGGTTTGAGAACATCGCTTTCATCCAAGAGATCATCCTCATTAATTAATTCTTCATCAACAGCACTATCTAATTTCCATATATTAGATTTTTTTCCTCCAAAATTGAGGGTTACACTAGAACCAATCTACATAAATTTGAAATACATAAGTATAAAACCTACATTTTTAATTATATTAGTTTAGCAACTATAAAAATATAACTTACTTCAAATGAAGGTTTTTCTGCTATTATTTCACAAATATTGTCTATATTACTGTACACATTCAGCAACAAATTTTTCAACTGTTTTATATCTTGTGTTTTTATTTTAAAACCAGCTAATTTCAAGCTTGATACTCTTTCATCGTAAACAGAATGTGCATTTTCCTTTTGTTGGAACAACTCATAAATAATTAGTGTACCTCTTGGTTTTAACATTCGCAGACATTCTTCTAAAAGTATTCTAGGATTTGGACACGATCGTTTAAAAATAGAAATAATTGCATCATAGGAAGATGAATTAATACCTAAAAAGCAACACAGCAAACTTATTAAGGACACAATTTTCTCCACACATAAAATTAACATAAAAAAATGCATTTCGAAAATACACTTTCTGAAAACTATTTAAAATACTCAGATATATATTTGCATGTACATAAAGAGTTACGTACTTAATTTTTCCAATTCTCTTGTTGATAGTGTTGATAATTGTTCTGCTTTATTAAGGTATTTTGTAATTGAACTAACAAAATCTGCAACATCGTTATTTGAAATTTCACTGTCTAGAACAACCAAAACACTGTTATTTTCTTTGAGAAAAGTCATTGTTACTAAACGCCACTGACATAAAAGATTTGTATGAATACACGGTAACAATTTTTCTTCGCTATGGGATTCAGATGATTGCATGAATTAATGAAATATAGATACGTAATCGTATAAATAATCGATACTTGCGATGCCAGCACCATCTATTCCAAA